AAAAACGCCTTACTATACTATGTCGTTTTTTTCGTGCCAAAAACGCCTTACTATGTCGTTTTTTTTTCGGCTAAAAACGCCTGACTATATACAATGTCATTTTTTTCGTGCCAAAAACGCCTTACTGTACTTTGTCGTTTTTTTCGTGCCAAATACGCCTTACTATACTGTGTCGTTTTTTTCGTTCCAAAAACGCCTTCCTATACTATGTTGTTTTTTTCGTGCCAAAAACGCCTTACTATACTATGTCGTTTTTTTCATGCCAAAAACGCCTTACTATACTTTGTCGTTTTTTTCGTGCCAAAAACGCCTTACTATACTATGTCGTTTTTTTCGTACCAAAAACGCCTTACTATACTAGGTCGTTTTTTTCGGATAAAAACTCGTGACTAAACGATGTCGTTTTTTTCGTGCCAAAAACGCCATACTATACTATGTCGTTTTTTTCGTGCCAAAAACGCCTTACTGTACTATGTCGTTTTTTTTTTTTTCGAAAAAAATTCATGTCGTTTTTTTCGTGCCAAAAACGCCTTACTGTACTATGTGTTTTTTTTTTTTTGTGCCAAAAACGCCTTACTATCCTATGTCGTTTTTTTCGTGCCAAAAACGGCGTACTATACTATGTCGTTTTTTTCGTGCCAAACACGCCTTACTATACTATGTCGTTTTTTTCTGCTAAAAACGCCTTACTATACAATGTTTTTTTCGGCTAAAAACGCCTTACTATACTATGTCGTTTTTTTCTGTCGTTTTTTTCGTGCCAAAAACGCCTTACTATACTGTGTCGTTTTTTTCGTGCCAAAAACGCCTTGCTATCCTATGTCGTTTTTTTTCTGCAAAAACGCCTTACTATACTATGTCGTTTTTTTCGTGCCAAAAACGCCTTACTATACATGGCTGTTTTTTTTCGGCTCAAAATGCCTTCTTCTTGCAGCAGATTTGCCGTGAGCAAATAAAAGGGAATGAAAACTGAGTTTTGCCTGGGTTCGACTTGGCACTCAACTGGTTCGTGCGTCAGCTTCACAATGCAGAGGTGCACGGTTCAATTCCGGCTGCGGCCTACCTGTGGGGAGTTTGCACGTTCTTCCCGTGCCTGCATGGCGTTCCTCTAACATTCCAAAAACATGCGTGGCAGGCTAATTGAGCACTCTTAAATTGTCCCTTGGTGTGTGTGTTTGTGAAAATAGTGAAATCCTGTTTTACTAAATTAGAGCCGACGCACATACAAGGGTATTCAGTTACTTTTTAAGAGTACACAGACTTTCATGAGTTCATGCATAAAATATTCTGCACTGTTATCACTGCACAACAACATTTGTCTCAATTGGAGATGCATTTCAACATGCACATAATTATGATATACACGATAGATAATTTAATGTACGAGGGTCATTCAATAAATTTTTTTTTTTTTTCTGTATCAGGATGTTTTTTTTTTGCTCTGCCACACACTTGAGTGTGTTTGAGAGACGAGCTGAGACATCAATCCAAAGATTTTTTTTTTTGTTTACGCTGAGGGAACATGGAAGCCTGTGCACAGATGGGGAAAAGTGTGTGACAGTGCTGGGAGGCTCAGTCGAAGGAAGAAAAAAAAAAGTAAGCTTCTGTTTTAGATGTCCTGATACCGAAAAATTCACCTTACTGATTGAATGACCCTCGTATCTTATTAAATGTTTTCCGCGTTTTCTCACTTGCCTCGGTCTTGTTCAAACATATCCACTGTCACATACATAGCTAGTGATGCTGTCAATTGCTGATGCTTGACTGGAAGCAGACATTGGCGTTCTTTCTCAGTATTTTGGGTGGGGCTTTCCACAGAACTCTGGCTTCGGTACGGGCTTAATTGACCGCTGCCCTCAAGGAGCAGTGTCGGACATTCTGCGGAAGATGACTGAGTCGGCGTCTCTTCGGGTTCATTCGCTTTCTCATTGTACGTGGCCAGCTTTGACGTCAAAGCTGGGAAGCTGTATTCTTCCCGGTTGATGTCCGGCGTGGAAGTCAGCTGGGATTCGTCCGTGTAGACGCGTGCACAGAAGCTTTCTGGCGGATAGTTGAATAGTCGGAAAGGGAAAATTCCCTGAGGAGAGGCAGAGCGTTTGTCATTATTTGATGGGCACCCCCCAAAAAAAAGAAAATAAAAAGAATACCGTATTTTCCGCACTAAAAGGCGCACTGGATTATGAGGCGCACCTTCAATGAATGGCTTGTAATTTTTTTCATATATTGGACGCACTGGATTATAAAACGCAATCTATAATGCATCCACTAGATGGAGCTACGCTCCTTCCGTTCGACTCGAGAGGCGTTCATGACCGCCTCCGAAAAACAAAATAACGATTCCTTTCATGAAACTACGAAAATTGAAAATAATGCATCAAAACAGAAAATCAAGCGAGGAAATCTCCTTGCTGGAGACATGCTTACAAGGCCATGATTCTTCACTCCATCCTGAAAAAGGCCCAGCAAAGAATGCTTAAAAGGTACAATAAGTTGTGGACACCTTTGCCAATTTCACATGCTTTTAATACTTTTAATACTTTCTCTTCAATTGAATTCACCTTTTGATGGCCTCCTGATGGCCACAGCGCAACAGAACTGAGGCCCGGGTTCGGAAGAGGCTTCTGCAAGAATTTCCGATACCTAGAAGACATGGAAACGCCTCGTTAATGATCAGTTGTTGAAATCAGCCGTTTTTTTTCCAACGTGTAAGACAATCAGTGATCGACTCGGAAAGTTGCTGAAGCTTCCTAAACACGAAGTCAAGCGAACGTCTGCTACACGTTACAGAAAAAGGACCATTTGTCGTTCCTGTAATGATCGAGGAGCCTGAAAATCAAAATGGAAACTATTTTCATGATCCATCAAGCTTTCAGAATTTCTTTTGTCAGAAATAGAAAACACTTACTGTATAGCGCAGCACAACCCGGTCGACAGCACGAGGACTATAACGATGCTTCCGACGACGCAAAGGTTTGTGATGAACCTCGGATCTGTCAAAGGAAGACCGCATTTGTCATCATGGCATTCGATCGTGCGAGGGCCCACCCACCCATATGCAGCAGATTGCACAATCCCATATAAAGTTCAGCTGTTCTAATTCGTTTTCTGAAGTTTTGGGGGCCTAACACTTCATCCTACGCCCATGAACCTTGATAGCGGCAGGTGCGTGTGCCGAATACCCGATTCACTTGAGTTTCCATCCGATTGGTTTTATGAGGGTGCGCACTGTTGCGCAACCACATTATCTCAGTGATTTATTTTTTACCACCCCCTCGAAAAGAATTAAAAACTAAATTCAATTGGAATGTACAGGTTGTAGGTCACATTAATGGTGGAATGGTTTTGAAAGGATTTATCTTGGTATAATTTTTTTCCATGTCCAGTCTGTCACTCACACCCCCCACATCAGTCACACTGGTGCTGGTGAGTCATTTACAAGTAACGGGAGTTGAAGGGGATTCCATGTCTTTCCCAAATATGCAAAGGGACAAGAGGTCAAGTCAGTTCCCAGCATCAGAAACGATTCCAAAAGTGACTTACCGAATCGTTTTGTGTTGAAGTGCCTGACGTTGCTTTCACTCGCTCCCGTCAGCGCCACGGCCTTGACATACATGCTGTATTGGGTGTAAGGAAGCAGATCCTTCAAAAGAATCTCCCGTGTCGTCGCATTAACAGTGACATCTGGAAGGGACAAAAATAAACTTGGATATGTTCCGAAGAAAGGAAAAACCAAGCGGCTAAAAGGTCAAAAGTCAACTTACTGAGCTTTGTTCCCTGCCCCGTTCCATAGAAAACAATGTAGTGGACAATAACGCCGCTACAGACATCCGGACGCTCCATATCCCAACTCACAAGGGCGCTTTTGTCTTTAACCTCAACCTTGACGGTGGAGAAATTTGCTGTCGCTGTCAGGGAAACATACAAAAAAAAAAAAAATCTCAAACCCCGAGTACTTAGAGACGCACCGAGCGATTTATTCCAACCCGTGACTGTTGCGCAGATCCGCGAAACCCGCGCGCCGAGGCCCGTCTTGTCGCCAACCAGCGGTGTGATCGTGACGTCGTACGGCTTTTTATCCAGAAGACCTGGATGGGAGAGAAACTTTTCAAAGTGAAAAGTAGCATGCAACTAACGATGATGTCGCTGGCAGACAATAGCCTCTTCCTGTTAATGCACTGTCGATAAGATCGCATTACAGATGGTGAAACGTTACACTAATGGCTGGGAAACAACACATTATTCCAGGCCCCCCCAACATGCATGCATTTCCTCGCCTACCCGACAATGTCGTGCTGGTGGAATTGCTTTCCTTCCAGCGGTAGCGAAGCTCATCGTGGGTCCAGTCGATCACGTAACCGCTGACAAGCTGAGAAGGCGCATCCCAGCTGACCAAAATAACACCGTCGCCGGTCGAAGAAGTCCGCACGTTTGCAACTTGAGGGAGGCCGGCTGGAACAATCCAAACAAGAAAATCAAAAACATGTCCTGATTGACATGTGAGCTGACCAAGGAATAGTGAGTGACAGGGGTAAGGATCCTACGTCTAATGTATCCGCTTGAAAGCGCCGGTGGTGGAAAAACGTAAATTAACGATTCCTTCAATAAAACTCCAAAAATTAAAAATAATGCATCCAAACAGAAAATAAAGTGGAGAAATCTCAAAATAAATTCTATAGCCCCCCTACAGAATTTATTTTGGCATTTCCTTGAGCGTGGATCCAACAGAACGATCAGATGTCAGTAAAATATAGGAGACTGGATTGTCTCTGAAGTGTTGATTTTTTTTTCCTTTGTTGTGTACTATATTCACAAATGAGGAAATCACAAAATAAATTCTGTAGGGGGGGTGGCTATAGAATTTATTTTTTTGATTTCCTTGCTTGATTTTCTGTTTTGATGCATTATTTTCAATATTCGTCGTTTCATTGAAGGAATCGTTAATTTACGTTTTTCGGAGGCGGTCATGAACGCCTCTCGAGCCGAACGTTAGAAGAGGAGGCACGGAGACGGACAAAGACGTGGCTGCATTTATTGAGACCGTGAAAACCATGAATAAAGCGTGCGTTTTAAAAAACAACACCACAGCACTTCTTTTTTTGAAGCTGCAACAAAAACTTATTTCATAAAGCAGCGACACAGTTCACTGAACCAACAGCAAGTTAAAACATTGTAAGCATGTCTCCAGCAAGGAGCCATCTTGGGGTCGACATATTACCGTAATGACCATACACGAGGCGCACCGGCATTTAAGGCGCGCTGTGAGCTTTTAAGAAGACTTTTCGGTGCGCCTTGTCGTGCGGAAAATACGGTAATAGAGAGCGGTGTTCATAACTTAGCAAAATAAAATGGAAGTCCCTGAAAACTTACTTTCTCCAACAGCCGGAACATAAACCGAGTCCTCTGCCAGGTAGGTGTCCTTATCAAAGACGACGAGCCGTACTCTGTATGCGTCTTCGTTCACAATTATCGTACAAGTTGAATTCCAACATAAAGTGGGACTGTCGTCGACCTGAGTCCCGTTGTCCTTGTCGAGAGACTGTTGGATCAAATATGTAAATGTGCCTTGGCACGCTGACGGAATCTCCTGCGAAGAAGAAGAAGTCGCATATGATGAGGAGATGTTTTGTGGGGGGACAACGCGCTGATATTCGGAGATGACGACGTGGAGCATTGAATTGACAAGCTTGCGTACCTTCCACATGGCATGAACCTTTCTCGTGCCATTTTTTCCCGGGTCAATTACCTTCCTCCACAGATGCAACTTGATGTCACTCCCTGCCGGGGTATCATCGCGTGTCATTTTCACTTTGAACGAAGAACTCTCTCGACGGGAACTTACTGTTGAGTTGGCTCAGAACGGTTTCCTCTCGGCTCCAATTGCTCCAGGGAGCTTTGTCCCAAGCGCAGCGGACTGAAACTTTGTAGTAAGTGCAGGAATCGATGTTTTTGATGGTTAGAGTTCCTTTTTCTCCTGCTTCCAAAGTCTTATTGAGCACCTTCCCGGGAAAAGACATATTTTTGAGCAAAAAATACGGTATTTTATTTATTTTTTAATTTTTTTAATGAAGTGTAATTTCATTCCCCTCTCTCTGTAACAAAATCAGATTATCGTATTTTCCGCACTAAAAGGCGGGTTGGATTATGAGGGGCGCCTTCAATGAATGGCCTATTTTAAAAGTGTTTCCATAGATAGGGCGCACCGCTTTTTAAGGCGCATAGAATCGAAGCTACAATAGTACTTGCAGTTGCGTTGTGCATCCACTAGGTGGAGCTATGCTAAATATAATAGAATTTGTATAGAGCTTTCGCAACCGCTTTAAAAAACATTTAAAGTACTACGTCCAATAAATCAGGATATTGATCTATATATAAGGCGCAACGGATTATAAGGCGCACCGTCGGCTTTTGAGAAAATGGAATGCTTTTAGGTGCTCCTTATAGTGCGGAAAATACGGTCATTTGCATAAATTGACTTTTTCTCAGATGACCGCACCGAGGACGTCGGAATTTATTTGTCGACCTCAGTTTCACATCGCGGCACGATTGAAAATGAAATCTGTGCCTCGAATGTGAAATCAACACTTTCGTTTCAATGGATTTCTCGTGCAGATCAAAGAGGAAAGCGCAACGAATGCACGTGTCGAACATCCCTTTACGTTACCTCTGCTTTCCTTTTCTCGCCAACCTGAAACACAAAAGGGCTGAAGTCAGACGACAACGAGAGCAATCAGGATGTAGATTGCGTCTCCGGTACCTCGTTATATCTAACTTGACAGTCGTGTTTCTTTGAGGACACGGACGTGGTCCACTTAACCAGCAGATGACCGGAGATGGCCTGGAGGTTCAACTTTGGAGATTGAATTTTCACTAAAGAAGCAGAATCATACGGCAGCATTAAATCAAGGTATACTATATTTCATTTATTATTTTTTTAAAGCATTTTATCGTGACGTCGGTGTGACTTACATATGTGATGGGGTTTAAATTCGTACGGGTCGGAGTAGACCTCCCAATATTTGGTCTTTGCTCTCACTGTAACACTGTGGTGATCATCCGGCAGTGTCACGTTCCTCGACAGGTGCACATCGTCGGACGTGCACGTTGTCAATTGTTGCGAGCTGCAGATTTCCGTCGGGGCAGCGTTTAAGCGAGAGCTGCAACAAGCAATGCACATTATATGATCACGCGTGGCTTCTTTCGCAACCTGGAGGAAATATTCAACTCACATAAGTACGGTGTAATTTATTTTCTCCGGGAACTGGGCACCGTGCTCCCAATCGCATTTGAAAAGCTCGGGCACACCCTCAGAATATGCATTTTTATAGTGCCAGATGCAGCCAATTTTGGTAGGTTTTGCTATATTAGAGAAGAACAACAACAAAAAAAAAAAGCACATCAATTATTGCATCATTCTTTGCCCATGCCAGGAGGGGGGCAGAATCCCAGGAAGGAGGTTCAAAAAAAATATGTATCTCAATACAAAGTGTGCGAGGTGATTCAATGATGGCTTAATTAAAGTATAACGATTAAATCTGAGTTTGCACATCTCATCTGCTTTCTGGAATGCCTCCCCCGGTATAAAGAAACCAAAAATAAGTGGCAGGGTCTTACAGTACGTTCTGACCGTGGTCCCTCCGAGCACTTCCCCGGTGTCGCTGCGGTGGCACTGCACGGTGGCTTTGGGCTGGGTGAAGTTCCTCAGGGACACGATGTTGTGCGTGGAATTAATGGCGTGGGACCAGCTTTCGTCCACAACTTTGTTGTTCAGCGTCCAGTACACGTTTCCGCGAGCACAGAAGCTCTCGCACACGATCCGAGTATCGGATCCCACTTGGATGTACGGATCTTTGGGGGTGACATCGCACACTTTCTTGCTCTGCCCTGTGGGTGTTAGTAAATGGGGTAGAATCCCCCCCCGCAACATCGTTTTTTTCTCAACTTAACACATTTGAAAAACGTATATGCCATAATTCGATTGACGATTGTGCTGGCGCGAGCAATCAGGTGCCTGATTGTTATGCCGTTAATGAATTAAGGCTACCCACTATATCACAGTGCTGTCCCCACCAAATATAATTCTAAACAGCAAAACAAAAAAAAAAAGCTTATGTGTTTAAGGAACTCTAATTTTCAACAGTCTCCGCCTGACAGATTTTCCTCAGCACTTCTGCATTGTCGCTTTAAGCTTTGAGAAATGAAAGATGTTCTTACCTTCTGAAACGGCGCTCGCACTAGTGACAATCAGAAGCACGAAAGGCAGAAAACAATGCATTCTCTAGGAAGTATTCAAATCTAAATCTTTGAAAGTCCAGAAGGATGAGTTTTAGGCATTTTGCGACCCATATTCCCACATGTTCTCATTTCAGCCGTCGGCCGCGGAGAGAGAGAGAGGAAATGAAGCAAACAGAGAAACAGGAGGTATTACCCAACTGGAAACATGGCAAGGCCACAGGAAACGTTTCTCGCCCGCTCTCTCTCTCTCTCTCTCTCTCTCTCAATTAATTCCCAAAGCAACATTAGGGAAAGCTTGCTTCTTTGCATTAGTGATATCCATGTGAGTCATATACAGAATAAAAGCCGCAAAGTACAAGGGAAGTAAGGAGCACTGCTTAATGCAAAACAAAACTGCGCTCTCGTAATAGGATCTAATATTATCTGATGACATATCACGGAACAACAGATTGGATACAGTCAATGCATAGCAAGTTTTAAAATTAACCCATGATCAGCCCATATATGGCTCATTAATGTTTCAAAACAATTTTTTTTCTTTACCTTATTGCATTCTCCGCGAGAGTGCACAACTCTTTGTATTCATAGATTATCTATACTGTATTGCTATTTGGCGCTTAGGGGTGCAACGGCAGGTTATTTTTGACACTGAGGCTTGCTCTCTGGGCCCCGACTTGTACTAAGTTCTGAAAACAATATATTGTCTTTCAAGTATTGCGGGAGTGTCGTTAGTCAGTAAACTTATGTTTGTTCATGACAAAACACAGTTAGTGTACAACAATCACAATGCCAGTGTAAAGAGGAAACTAAAAATCGTCTTCAGACACGACGTTGTCGCCATCTGTTGGTCAGGATGAGAAATGCTGTAGATGCGAACTTCCGGGAATCAAAACAAAAACACGAGCTGTTTTTTTTTTTCATTTGTATCTCGTGCTACGTTCTATCGTTGTTTTAGAAATATTAATCTAACTGTTAGTAGTCGTCCTACACATCAAACAAGAAAATCAAGTTGTATTTCAATGTTGGTCTTTCAATATTAAAACGAACAATAACGAGTCCGTTTTCTATTTACAAATAGACATCACTACATGACGTAAACAAATGTTAAAATACGCCACGAGTGATTTTTTTTTAGCGCAGCGATTTTATATTCTCGATTTACTTCCGCGTTTACATCCGGGTTAGTCCTGGGCTCACTTTGTCATTTCCTTCCTAACACGACGCGACTGGTTTTACACTATTTTCGGTGCTTCTATGGCCACTGCGGTCCTCATCGCCGCCGTCGTCGGTGGCGGGGTCCTGCTCGTCATGCGCCGCTTGTTCCCGCGACAGAACGCGGTCAAGCTGCTCCAGTACCCGGCGGGCATGATGCGAGATAAGACTGTCATCGTGACCGGAGCGAACAGCGGCATCGGGAAGGCCCTAGCCGGTGAGCTACTGAAACTCCAGGCCCGGGTCATCATGGCTTGCCGGGACCGGCAGAGCGCCGCCGAGGCGGCCCGGGACATCCGGGGACATTCGGACACAGAGCTCGGGGAGTTGGTCATCAAACAGCTGGACCTTGCGTCGCTTCAGTCGGTTCGTAAATTTTGTCAAGAGATTCAAGAGGTGAGCTGTCACGAACCCGCATCTTCACTCACAGAAATTGTTTTTAAGAATGCTGACACCAGAGGTGCAGTTCTTGTGAGCTGTCCATGGTTCCGATAGGTAACAGACTGGCTAAGTCTTTATTTGCTACGTCGGTTCTATTTACATCCCATAGGCCCTCCTATTAGAGACCCAGGTGTCTTTTTATTGAATATTTTTTTTAATTTCGCTCTTTTCAGCGCCTTCTGCTAAATCGGAAAATTTCATTCGTGGTCTGTTGCCTTAATTATGGCCATAAGGGTAATGGTGGGTCGAAGGTTGGTTTGATACAATTTGTTACGATTCAATCTTTTATTTCTTATTGCTTTTAAAACAAATCTCACATATTAAAGCATATCTGCCTATGAGCCATCAGAAGGAACCCAAGATCGACGTCCTCGTCAACAACGCGGGCGTGTACCAGTGTCCCTACTCCAAGACGGAGGACGGCTTTGAGATGCAGCTCGGCGTCAACCATCTGGGCCACTTCCTGCTCACCCACCTGCTGCTCGACCTCCTCAAGAGCTCTGCCCCCAGCCGCGTGGTGGTGGTGTCCTCCAAACTGTACAAGTACGGCCGCATCAACTTTGACGACCTGAACAGCGAGACGAAATACAACAAGGCATTCTGCTACAGTCAGAGTAAATTAGCCAACCTGCTGTTCACCCTTGAACTGGCGCAGCGGCTGGAGGGCTCGGGGGTGACCGTCAACGCGCTCACACCTGGCATCGTGAGGACCAGGCTGGGCAGGCACGTTCGCATCCCCCTCCTGGCGAAGCCGCTCTTCTACCTGGCATCGCTGCTTTTCTTCAAGAGTCCGCTGGCGGGGGCGCAGACGCCTCTCTATCTGGCCTGCTCGCCAGAGGTGGAGGGGGTGTCGGGGAAGTGCTTTGCAAACTGCGAGGAAGAGGAGCTGCTTGCGAAGGCGACGGACGAACAAGCGGCGAAGAGACTGTGGGATGTAAGCATGAGGATGGTTGGACTCGAGGACTGATTGGATTTTACGACGCTAGTGGAGACAATAAGAGTGAGATTGCCAGTACTCAGCCAATGAAATATTCAAGTTATGCCGAGTTATATTCAAGTCTTGAAAATGACATCTTGTTGGCCTCTCTGCAATGCATCCTTAACCAGTCACATTTTCAAATTATAGCTGTCACTCGAGAAGTCAACCGTAAGACATCATCAAACGAAAATATTGTAAAACTACTCACCCTTTTGACAACGCCTCACAGTCACGTAACGTCGAGGAATTACAAACATACTCACCTCGCCGAGTCGCCACATTTCCCTCCATCATCGTTTCCCCAGAAAAACGTGAAGAATGTAACAGATGGTTTAACCTGACAAATGTGCTTTTTTTCCCCCACCGCTGGGTGCCAATAAAGGGGTGAAGAGGGTGTTATGTGCTTTGTGTACTATGTGCTGTATTGGCAGAAACAGAACAATAGGATGGAAAGGGGTGGGGGGAGATAAATGGGAGGATGCTGCAACACAAAAGTAGTAATTTTCTTACATTCACCAGGTGGACAAAACGTATAGTGACGTCAGGCCATGATAGAGTACAGGAAGCAAAAATAGAATTTAAAAAAACTGATGAAAAGGTTCTATACAGTGAACCCTCGCTATAACGCAGTTCACCTTTCACGGCTTTGCTGTTTCATAGATTTTTTTGATTTTTTTTTTTAAATTGCAGTTTTTGACAGTGCTCACCAATTTGCGTTTGTGACAAAAACAGGTTTTGGTCTTTGGTTTCATTCTATTGCATAATAAATTGTAAAAAAAAAAGAATAACGCTGACTTGTTGCACATTTGTTTAGTTATTGTGCCCCCTGCTGTTACATTTGAGGGTTGCATTGAGGGGCAGGAAGTGGTTCATGTAATAATAATAATAATTAGGAGGTGCGTCAGTTTGAGGGAAGAGATGCAACTTTTTTTTTCTATTTTAGTTATTTGGGTAGTTTTTGTGATCTATAATCACCTTGATCCGGCCCCAAATACGCCACCTAAGTCTAAACAATCAAGGATCGTCTGCATACTTTGTGCTTTTATTGATCCAACAAAACAACCGAAAATATCTAATCATGCGTGGTGAATCAAAGGAACAAAGGTTATATCGTCCTGATGAAGGTGTCGGTGTCCAAATCAGAGGTCGAAAGGGGGCAAGGGGGTGCGCTTTGGAGTTGCAGGAATTTTGTGTCCGTATATGAAGAGAGGAACTAAAACAAACTGCCAAGACAGATGTTCACGTGTCAAAACATTCCAGTAATAACAATATAAAACACCAACCGAGACTGTCAAACTCAATCAAAGGAAAAAAAAACGGAGCTAATTTGTCACTGTTAATTAACCGTGACTGGTACACAAGGCCAATGCTGTTTATACAGGCGTCAAGTTCAGGGTGCGTTTGTTTTAATAGATAGTGTTGGCCGTTTTTTACTTTGTGTATGTACAAGTTTCAGGTTGACTAAAATTGTCATTTGAATAGCTACATACAAAAAAATATCTGTCATTTTCTACTCAATAAATATACAATAAATACAGTGGTACCTTGATTTACAGGTTTGATTCAGTGACCACCATTGAAATGACATTATTCCGTTCCAGCGCCACAAAAAACACCTGTTTTAATTAGAAACAAATGTACTGCAATATTTAAAAACATAAGACATAAGGAAAGAGAATGTAAAGAGGTGAGATGGTTTCATAAAGTGTAAATAACCAAAAGGCACACGCACATTGTAGTAGTCGCATGTTGACGTGTTCCTTTAAAAGTTGTACTGGGTGACATTAAGAGCTTCTTCATGCTCCTTGTGAGTGTTTTCATTTTGTATGTCTGTTTTTGACCCTGTCCCATTCAATAAACGACTGAAAGTGTAATGAGTGTCATCCTCGATATTTAATTCGAGCGGCGGCGGCGTATGTGAAGCTCGATGCTATTTAAATTTTGGCTCGCAATGTGAAAAATCGACTGAATTCTTCAAAAAAATCCTGTAAGTCAAGGTACCGCTGCACACATTCTTACGATGTAGAGAGGCCTCTCACTTTCCAGTCATCACCAGTCACGTTCACAACACACACTTCTGTGGCTTCTATTCCCGTTTTTCCCCTCGAGGTCCGTCAGTTGAGGAGTGTTCCGTACAACTGTGCCTTGGTTAGGCTGTCTTTCCGGGAAAGTCCCAGAGAGGCAAATTTTTGGTGGTACGGTGGCGGAGGCGGTGGGGCCGTTGGCGGCGACGACGGGCTCACCTGGGCGGACAGGTTGTGCATCTCCGCCTGGTAGTGCTGAAGGTCCGCCGCCATCTCCATGGACCGGCGGTTGAGGGATTCGGTGGAGCTGTTGGGACTTTGCTCCCCATAATCGGCACTTTGGCCTCCGGCTGCCTCATTGCCCTCTCGGTCTTTGGAGCTGCCCGAGTGGTAGAGGCTGTGCTCGGAGCCTTGGCTGTCCTCGTACAAGCGGGCTTGGCTGTGAGCCTGGCGGAGCACCGGGCTGCACTCCGGACTCGCAGCCACCCACACCGGATCCTGCATCTCGCCGGCTCCCTGCTGCTCGTAGTAGTCGGCCCCTTCCTGGAAGCTGCTGTAGAGCGGGCCCAGACGTATCTTGGCCGGCCTCACGGAGAAGTGCTGCTCGGAGAAGCTGTACGGCGAAGCGCGGCCGGGACTGCGGTAAGAGTGCGAGCTCAAGTCTTCGGCGCTGAGCTGCCGCCATCTTCCGATCAGCTCCTCCTCCTCCTCCTCGGGGGCCAGGGTGCTTCCTCGGCGACTGTCACCGTAGGCGACGCTCGGGGAAGACGATTGAGGCAGGGGCTCGTAGGGCTCGCTGAAACAGGAGGACATGGTGCGGCTGTACACGGGCGAGCTGCTGTTCTGCTGGTGGATCATCTCCATCTGCTGGAAGGGATGATTGTTACTGAACCCTCTGGGACTATCCCTGTCCCAGGATGAGTCGCTCTTCCTCTCGTAGTCCCCGGCATCCCTCCAATCCATGTAGAGGGTGTGTTGGCGCGGGGAGGAAGCGGCGCTGCTCGGCGGGCCGTTGGCTTTGTCTTCCGAGCCCCCTCCGCTGAAGCTGGAGTAGGAGCTGGAGCCCACCCCCAAGGGGGGGAACTCAGCAAAGTGCTCCTGGGTAAAAGAGGGTCTCAAGCCCACGGGGCAATCCTCCGGGTTGCTGTCGGTGGAATTCTGCGGCTCGTAGAGGAGCTTCCTCTGACCGTGAAGGTCCATGCTGGGCCTGCGCTCCCGGTGCCGGTCGTCGGGGCAGTAAAGGGCCGTGTCGCTGCTGTACAAGTCGGACTTGTAGGCCGCGCGCAGACCGAGGCGCTCCCCACCTTGGGCCAACGTTTCCAGAACGAAAGCGTGGTCCGGCGTATGAGGGCTGGGGGAGCGCGAGGCTTGGCTGCTGCTGCACGCCTCGTCGGGCTTCTCGAGCACCTGCCCGATGAGCGAGGCCGGCACGGAGTCCGAGTATGTGCGGCAGACCGGAGGCTCTTCCATGTGCATAGTCAGTCGCTCCTGAAAGTCGGTAGGTAGCTGGGAGCAAAAAAACACATGCCCAGGTCATTAAGATTCCAAAGTAGACTTTACACTTATCGGATTGGGCAGTTATCCTGATGCAAGTCAGTTGTGATGTCATAATTTTGCCGACTGATCAGTTACCACGTGCGCATGGACAGCCTCAGACCCCTCTTATGTAATCGGGAACTTTTTCTCGATGTTATTTTGTGTGCATACTGGTTGTAGTTTGTCAGCCCGGCGCAATCCATTTCCAATCACAGCAGCGGGGGGCGGTTCCATCATCTCGTGTGCACTTTGTCACGTGCGTGAGACTGATGCAGTGCAAAGAGGCGACCCAACGAGAACACGTCAATACATGCGTCGCACTCGACAAGTACAATTGAACTATGGGGCGGCGCTGTGCTAACCAGCCAGCAGATTCTGCTGTTTTGTCAGCCGAAAAGCACTTAGGGGTTTAACACATCAACCGGTTGTGACATTTATTAATTTTTTAAACCTCATTTTCCCCCACCTTTTGTTTTATTTGGGTGGGGGCTCACCTCGTCGAGTTGGGCCCTGTACAGGGACTTGTTGCATTGGAGAAGCTGAGCGGCCAGGTTGCAATCCTTCCTGTAGACATCCTACGGAGCGAGAAGCATCAAGATGCGATTATTCTTATCAACCGAGAAGCGGATATGATGGAAGCCTCATGCAGTCATGACATCATCATCATCCGTGGTGATGAAAATCAAAAAAAAAAAAAAAAAAAAAGGTGTCTTATCACATTGTCCTCTTGGAGCTTGTCGATGGTGAGCTTGGCCTCCATCAGGTGGTTGTTGAGGACGATGATCTCTCTGCTCAGCGCCCGCTTTTCGTCGTCATGGTGCTGCGACTGACAAGATGACAGGTGAGCGTTTCGGCGTCACCTCGATTGCAGTTCGAGTTTCAAAATGTCTATTTTTATTTCATGCAAAAAAACACTCGCCGGTCCTCTCCTATCTTAAGGAGCCCAAGCGATTATCCCGCTGCTGTTGCAATGTGATGTAACATCTTGCCGATGACACCACCGTGTGCCGTAACAATGTTCAGCCGCCGCCGATCAAAGCAAAAGCCCCCCGAAGGTCACACGGGTTTACTGTCTGATTAACATCTTTTCTGGTCTGGCCAATGAGGCGAGGTGTGTTGAACGGAGGAACAATGGGGGCTGCTATCACACGCTATGCTTTGGAGGACGACGCACCATTTTTAATAAGCCCTAATTAATGTCAAGGCATTGGTATTACACTACCCGCTGCAGCATTTCACTTCAGACTTACATCTCGGTGAATCTTCTCTTCTAGATCTTGGTTGATCCTCTGCAGTGCGGAGTAGCTGCTTTGAATCCTAAAGCGCACAGTTAACAACGTACATTGTTTATCCACAATCACGTGAGCTTGCGTAAAACAAGCGCACCGTAAGTCAGTCAGTCAATCTCACGAATAAATGTGCATATCTGACTGTTTGGACAACTATTTTTATCTATACACTCGGGCATAAGCTGCCTCCTGAAGCAAAAGTGGAGACAAAAATAAACTGCAGGAAAGCGTAGCCCGCATTTGATCATTCAGCGTTTTCCCTTCTCACATCTTTCTTCAGCCACTGCAGCACGCATTTGAAGTTTCGTGTGTGTGTGTGTACAGATACATAAGGTGCCTTTGCGCGTCCCACAACGCGTATCTCCCAGTTAGAATATTCAAACCTGCGCAGCTTATCGGTAAACTTATCCAGCTCTTCCTGAGCGCGGCGCAGCTCGGTCTCCAGGTACTGCCGCGTGGCGTCAAACTCGCTCTGCAGCAGCTCCAGCTTGTGTGTGGTGTAGGAAAGTCGCTTCCGCAGGTCTTCTTTCTGCACCAGCAATGAGCTGCGCGCACACACACACACACAAATCAAGTTATCGCGTCAAATTTCCTCAAGCAACTAATGGGGAGGTCCGCATATCCGACTGACAGCTGTGCAAGGGGGTGATGGAGAGGGCGATTCAAGCAGAAAAATGGCGTGCGCATGCAGGCAGACACACCATAAGCGGCGTTTCTGATTCTTCGAATTAAAAGCTGACAGCCAGTGTGAGAGAAACCTAATCACCATCACCGCAAGGTGTTGAAATATGAGCTGTAAACTCTTTAATACATCACGCGAATGGAACGTGAAGGCCTGGATGTCGGGAACGGCATGCAATTCCACACGGCGATATTTATTTATTTTTTTACAGTCGGCGCTGCCTCAATCTAATGAAAGGGCAAGCGTACGTGGGAAATGAGGAAACGTGGGCCGCCGTGATGGATCCGAGTGCAGGCGGCCGGGCCTAATGGAGCCCGTATTGACGGACAGCTGGAGGAAGGAAGCTAATGACTCTATCTGCGGGCCGGATAACAAACGAATAGAGATGCGCTCGCGTGCTCTTTTCACTCCCGTGCCTCATTTCTCTCCCTAATAACCACGTCAGGTAACAAAAGGCTCGAGATGGAGAGGCCTCTTTTCAGTGCTCACCGGTCGCACGGAGAGGAGGGATCATCCACAGGGCATCTTATTAATATTCATGCCGGCGAGATTGCAGAAAGTAGTTGGTTTATTCTTTTTTTTTGGGGGGGGGGCGGGGGGGGGGGACGTATGCGCAAGTCATAGAAGCAGCTACACGTGTTGAAGACAAAATGCTGTATGCTGGACAGGATCTGCAGAAACAAAGCCGCTTCCCCGGGCACAAATCCTACCGGTGCATTTAAACCGCAGTGAGTTGACTCACTAAATTTTTGGCAACACGTCCCCCCTCCTTCGCTACAGGCCGACGCTATGTCAGCGTTGCATATATCAGCATTAGGCTGAGATGGCCCCTACTCCACTGGTCCCTTGTGCCTTCAAATCTGTACGCGATGTTCTTGGGGCAATGCGCCGACTGACTTTTAAGAATTATGACTCACAGTACGGTGGAACCTGTTTTGGAGTGACAGTTTTCTATACCCCCCGCAATTTATGGCTTTTTTAAAAAAGTGAAAATGTGACTCAGCCACTCATTTCCTGCACGCTCATTCAAAGAAAGCATTTTCTAAGTTGTGTGAAAAGGTTCCACAGTGAAAGCTTTTACCCACAATTCAAGATTAAAAAAAAAAAAGCCTCCTGGTCTGCCCGGCAACATCGACGGATAACACATCCAGGTTCAAATTAGACCTTCAAAACAAAAGCATGCAGAATAACAGTTGCACGACACTTTCGATGCTCACTTTCAGCAGTCACACAGAACAAACAAGCACAAAAATAGTTTGAGGGTGAATAAATTAAGCCACCACGGGCCCAAGGAAAGTGCAGTGAAACTGAAAATCGGTCCCAATGGTTTGAACCAAACCCAACCGGTCACACGTGAAAACCCCCTTTAATGTTTGATGACATCACATAGCAGGCCGTAGGTTTTTTTTTCCCCATGACGCACTAAGCGCCACTTCTCCATCTGAGTCTGGTCAGTCCGATTGCACTGATGTGTCTCGCTAACGTGACACCTTCCCCTCAATTTCCGATTGCCTCGCAGCCCTCAACCACCTCTCTGTTATTTATTTCTCTTGGAAACCCAATGAGTCGAGTTAGACTCCAGCAGAGAGAGGGGAGGTGTCGTGAGCTGCTCGCCAACGGGGGATTTATCTTCACGTATTCATAAATAGGACTAGAGAGTTTGGCTGTCCTGAAAGAAAAGTGCCTCAAGAGAGCCGCTGTTATATAAGGTGCTTTAATTCAAACAGAATTTGAACCGAGTAGCTGAACAGCCTAGTTTGGATGTGCCTGTTATTTACTCTGACACAATTAAACATCTTGCTTCCAGCGAGGCCCTGCACCAAATGTTTATACTCCTAACAACAACAAAAAAAAAAAAACCTCATTAATATAATCGCTTTCTCTAAATTTAAATGGTAGGGGGGCCGACTTATAACTCTCCAGGCAGTTGCCCTAATTGTTAATACATTTGCAACCGAGTCAGAGACGAATGCAGAGCAGACTTGTGAGCGAAGCGCTGCGCGTCTCAAGTGACTGGATGGCTTTTTTTTTTCCGCACTCCACCTCCAACCGCCTCACCTCCCTTTCAACCCGGCATCGGCGCGGGAATACAGGGTGTTTGTTGTTGGCTATGGGATGCATTTACATAGAGTGGGCTCGAGGGAACGGCGGGAACGGCGTCCCATTAGTGACCGAGGCTGCGAGCGGGAGCTGAGTCAGACGTAAATGAGTGCTCTCACTCGGGGCGAAGAGGATGACGAGGCAACGTGACTCCTGCTTTGGCAGACGATGCATTTGTGTGACTGGATGGGGGAGAGGAGACACCTCGTGGGCGGATGAGTGGACAAACAGATTAAAAAAAAAAAAAAAAAAAGAAAAATGAGGACAGGTGGCAAAGACGGTGCGATTCCATTCGATTCGCTTACCTCTTTTTCAGATGTTTGCCGCCGTTTCGGGGGACTTTTGAGGCGGTTTTGCCAATGTATATCTTTTTCATGGTTTGTCTGTGTTCCTTCCCTCTCATGTGTTCATAGGGGTCGACCACGAGGTGCTGACGGGTGTTACTGTCCCGAAAGAGACCGCCTAAATCATGCCTGCGGGGTTACCGATTGTTCTACCTGCCAAACAAAACAAACACACATGAATCAATCTTTCAGTTGATAATCCCGATGAATGGCCAAGATCAATAAACATGTTTGTGAACAACATTTTGGGGGCTAAAGAAGTTGTCCAACCGGCGCGTCACACAACTCTGAGCAATGACGTTGCCGCTTGGCGTTGGTACAAACGAGCGACTGATCTGAGATACAGCTAAATGCGATTATTTTTACAAAGCCTCAAGTAAAAATGAATCGAGACGCGTTGAAAAAAACTGACTTTGACAAAGGGGCTCTTTACTTCTGCGGCCCGCCTCCTCTAAATATTTGGGGCTGCCTCAGGCCCCTCCCCGCTTCCGCGTCGGGATGACGCGTGCGGGAGAGACGCCGACGTCAGCCCTCAGACGACGGCTGCGGGTTGTTTCGACGAGCGCGTCCGCCACGGTTTGAACAAAGACGCTTCCAGCTGAGCCCTGATAACGTCCCCTCGGAAGGGGGCGACGGGGACAGAGGTGACGGGGACAGAGGTGCTCGCGGGTCCCTGTCGCAACACCCGCCCCGATAACGAGTCGGCAGATATTGCACTTAACACACCCAAAGGCGCACACGGAGGTGTCAAAAGGAAAACGTGTTGATCCGCTCGCACCTCATTGCTGGTCGGCGATTTCCGCATCAGGCCGAGTAGGGATGGCAACAGCTGGTGACAAGTCTACCCCCCCCCCACCCCTCCCTGACACACACAAGCACCAGAGGCTTCTCTCGAGCTGCTCCCCGGTGAGTCATCACACACCGGCACAGGATACGTGCCCACAGTGAGGTGAGATTGGCCCTGCCAGTTTCGAGCTATTTGGGAGGCTGATGTGTTTGTATGCATATCACCATTAAAGTGTCCATCTGCATGTCTTGATTGTGGCTTTGTACACTGCGGCGTCTAAACACACACACACACACACACACACACACACACACACACACACACACACACACACACACACAGGAAGGAATAACGCAGCGCCATAAACATGGGGACATCTCAGGCCATGTCGGTCGTTCCCTAGCGCCCGTCCTCCTCTCGCTTTTTACCCCTCGGTCGACTTCTCGCTCCTTTAATTGAGCCTCCTCGCCGCGCAGCGCCGCATCGACGGACGGGGAACGCGTTCATACGAGGCTGCCAGCCGCCCACCCACGCCATGCTCACTTTGGAGAGAATTTCAGAGCGCTGATAAGCAGAGCGGGAAGGGAGGCGGGGAGCGGAGGAGGAGGATGACATGAAAGTTGGGTGGGGTGGGGGGGAGGGGGGGGCAGGAAGTGGTTATGAGGTGAAGGTTTACTCCATCAGGATCCCCCCCCCCCTTTTTTTTAAATGCGGCAGGCACATGCAGACATTTGTGCTTGAACAAAAATAGATTCGGGGGGTGAGGGTGCAGGCACCCATGACCAGCAGCTACAGTAGATAAGTCTACACACCCCTGTTCAAATGCCAGATTTCGTAATCGAAAAAATAATTTCAAATCGTTTTCACTCCTATAGCGTGAAACATAACCCATACAACTCAAGATCCTGCCAACTGCCTCCAATTCAACTGGACTGTTCTAGTAGGCTTTCCTGACATTTTCTAGTCACATTTTGTGGCAAAACCAAGCTTCCCCCCCAAAAAAAATCAGAGGGATCTCATTTTCTAAGGTATCAGTCGGGAGAGCCAGCACTTTACATGGCAGCAAGCAGAGGTCATCTATCCAACAGGCCAATAGTTATATCACTCCCAACACTTTCAATTCCGATCGTGGATCACTTTCCCTTTAACGGGAAACGATTAAATTATTCGTGATGACTGCGGAATACGTGACCAAGTAATGACATCGGGCAACAACGTGAAGCCCAAAGTAAGATGGACTTCCAAGTCTTACAACGTTAGAAATGACAAGGACAAGAGAAGGGAAGAAATTACCTCTGTAATTGAGTTACCAGATAAGCTAACAGCTAGCCTGAGGGGCTTGAGTGGGAGGAACCGTGGAGCGTGAACAGATGGTCTGAGAGATGTTGCGTAGACAGCAACGACCTAGTAAAAAAAAAAAGGGGGGTTGTTTTATCACCAAACAGAGTTCCACCAAAAAATGGGTTCGTCACAGCGCATGACGGTGTGACCAGCAAATCCCGTCGCAACACTCAAAACGGAGTAGAGACCGAGACAAAACAATCACATCGTCATCGAGAGGGAACTCCCACCCCTCACTCTACTTGCGCGGGAGTCAGGTGAGTGAACCACGACACTACAGCACTCCAGTCGGTGACCGCGACTGCTTTAAAAATGTTGAAATATCCCCTTTAAGACTCATTTTCCAATCTTCACGCTTACACGCTCTCACATTTTCAGTCCTGAGAGCATTACAATGTTGCGTTTGTGACTACCTTGCTTGTTGGAAGCCAGATGTTCAGGTACAGTACGAGATGTCCATTTTTTGGTTCCAATTTGGATATCACATCAACATACCGACCGACCCTGCAATTGATTGGCAACTAGTCGTGGGCGTAACCGTCTCTCGCTCCAAGTCCAACGAAAACTCCCGGCTCGATCTTTCACCAATGAGGATCCCCTAGCTCCAAGCTCAGCATTAGAGTGAAGACGACCTGGCGGGGGGAGACGACTGACTCATCGGAGACGCAGACACACACAAAAGATGACCGCTCTCTGCCGTCCACCCCTTCCCTCCACATCTGCACCAATCTATAATGCGCGTGACTCAACCACGCCATGTTGAAAACATCCACACCTAAGCCTGCCCCGGTATTGATTAAATGAAGACCAAGACATTGCAAAAAAAAAAAAAAAAGCCCAATGCGACACCATAACCAGAAGAGCTCGGGTTAATGAACCGCTAACACCTTTAATGTGCGCACATAATGCCCAGCAAGGGGTGAAATCAAGACAAATCCCCCCCCACTTTACCCCCGCCAAAAAAAAGCATTAACCCTTTCAGGGACAGCGGTTACTGCAGTGGACAGCTTACCATGGTATCAGGTTACATGGGTGCATGAAAGGGTTAAAAAGTGGCCCAACAAACAGATAACCCAGCAATTATGGAAAAAAAATAGTCACTGGGTAAGATGCGTTCACCAAAAAAATACTAATTGCCGTCCAGTATCGATATTCTGTCCGTGCTCAAACTCAAATTCCAACCGCACAGAAAGAACAGTTCAAATACATTCCGAAATCACAGCGCGCAGAGCATCTGTATTCACTGCTCCGTTTCCTGACTCGCAAGGATGCACAAATTGCACTTTTGTTGAAAGGTTACTTAAATGATTATTTGGAATAGAACTCGACACGTGGAGCACAAACCTTTACATAATTCTGTTTGTTCGCAGCGGAATACGGCTCAATGATAATTCAGAGCATGCACTCTTCGTCCGGATAAACGCAACGGATGCGCTGCATATACAGTACCGTATTTGTACAAATATAAATAACAAATGAGCACTTTCCAAGAACGACGATCGGAGTGATTTCCCAAATGAACGAGTGCATCTTTTATACATGAACCGTATCCTATTATTAGATCTAAGACCGCATCTGCAATGCTAATCGACAAATCTCAATCTTATTTAAAAAAAAAAAAAAAACACTTACGGCAATTGGTCGGGGGCTGCGAGTCTGAAATCGGATCGTGCACAAAGATTAGCAGCATAGCCATTCATTTCCATACATTTACGATTGCAGTGGACTGTCAATTGTGTTTGTGAAATTTAAGGGCTGTAAAAGACACGCCATTCGTGCACAGTGGAACCTCCCAAATCAAACACCTCAAGTGGTACAATTTGGAATTGATTTACTGATCGGTGAAAAAAAAAAAGTGCCTCAAAATCAACGCAGCCATTAGGCAACGCAGGTAAAATTTTCGAATGGATATTCTGTTATACACGTAACAGTGAGTGAATCAAAATTGGTCTCACTGTCCCGTCACTTCAAGTTAACCACTTTAGTTCGCAATAATACTTAATAAAAAAAAAAAAAAAAGAAACACTAGGCCAGCTCTGTTAAACGATTCTTTTACATGCCGGCCGAGTGCTTCCACATGAGGAATGAACGTGACCCGTTGCTGCCGAGGAGGGCAAAGGAGAAGGATCACAACGCGCGAGCTGATCAGGTCTATTTAATGACTCCTGGGGGAAGGTGTCAACGTTTCCTCCGCACAGACCTTGCATAACTGATTCAAGGCTGGCTGGTGAGACCACCACGGCCAGAAGGGCACATTAGTACACTGAATCCATAAAAATTGCAACGCTAACTGCCACGGTCTAGCATATTTAAAACCACAACTTTATTGCATAGTTTTTTTTAGGGGGGGGGTGCATATTAAGGAAACAATATTAATTTATTCAAGCGCTGCTGTTCTGCTACATTTTATAGTGAACCAATATTTTCTGTTGGATTTAATTCAATTTAAATAATCCATTCTAGCTTGACGATAAACGGCACAATGTGAATGTTTTAACATCCTCAACTGTCAAAAAAATAAAGTAAAAATAGTTGATATCGCAAAACGAGGAGAAAGAATTGCTGAAGGTTGGTCAATGTCACATTTTTAAAAAAAATTGGAATACAAGTGTAAAAAGAAGTTGACCATTCACATGGTGAAGACTTTTGAGATTTGCTTGATTTGAGGTCTACCTTTTCGGAAAATTCGTGTTGAACTCCAAATTTTTTGACATTAGGCACATTTCTTCGTTGCACCCAAACTCCCAATTTGGAAATTTCACAGCGCTACCAAAAACTGCCACTGTAATAACAATGATCCGTCTTTATTTTCTCACACAATGTACGTTCAGTTTGTAATCTGAAACGGAAAGCTCTTGCGCCGATTGACTGACAAGTGGTGGCAAACCACGTCAATTAGAGCATTTAATTGTTCTGGCTGTCACGATACGTTGCTGGCGTAGGTTGATATACTGATGTTGTCTGGCCTTTTCCCCAAGTTAGCGAGGATCGGCTTGACTCTGAAGAGGACACGTGTTATACAAGATGGATGGATGGATTTAAAAGGTTCCACTGGTGCTACCCAAATGTAATTATTGCCATGAAAAGGACGACATCGGTCACGTTTAAGTGAACTGGGTCGTCCTGATAAAATCCTCTTGAAACATCATCGAATGATTTAACTTCCTTTCATAATCGCGTTCGGTTCAATCTGGCGTTATCAATCAGTGCGGAAGAGCAGCGCTAAGAAAAAAAAAAAAATCTGCAAATCAAAATGAAATCTCCCTCATGCAAAATTGACATGACTCTCTCCCCCGCGGGGCACCCTGGGGCAGGAACTCCCGGCCGAGGGAGGAGCAGACAGTGTGAGGGCGGGGAAGGAGAATTTCAGGGCATTTCATCATGTACAGACCGCTGGTTGTCGGTGATGAAGTGAGCAGGTGGAAGCGGGGGGTTACCGGTAAGGTCGGCCTTCGTAAAACCGAAGAGCGAGGACAAGAAGCGCGGGACAACCCTTCATCCATCTTGGCAAGGCTGCAACAATTCAATTAAAACCATGACACGGAAGTGAGGACAATTGATGACACATCGCCAGCAAACCTTGACGAGTCTTCGTTGAAACAGTCCTAATGGCTGTCTGTGATCATCAACAAAAGCATCTACAGTATTTCCATGTGCACACGTTTACCAATGGCTCACTGAGGAGGGGAGGAAGAAGGGAAAAAAAAAAAAAAAAAAAAACGAGGCTTGCCCTGCATCTGATTCTCGACCCCTGTCAAGCAACTTCAATCGGGAAAGTGGATGAGAACAGGTCTTTTTCGAACGAGTGCCTGAGAAAGCATCTGAAAATGATCTCAACACCTACTGGAGTTGCAGGAGCGGTGCTCATCCTGCAGTTATTAATCACCACAGCATGGAGCATTCCGACAGGTGAATGCAACATCATGCAGGATCAAAACAAGTCTTGCAAGTCAACACCAACTCCCTCTGTACGCATTCCGGACCGAGTCAAACTCGCCCTTGCGCCGCGCACACATTCTGAAGCATTGAACCCCCCCCCCCCCCCCCACCACATTCGTTTATCCGCCTCATCAAACTAGCAGAAAAGCAGGTCTTTCCAACGCAGCCACACACACATGCACGCACAACCACTCCAAATCCAAAGATGCAAAGAGTCACGCGATACCTGGTGCTAGAGCACAGCTTCATCCTGGAGAAGGACAGACGAACCCCCACCAGGCTGACTTAGCCCCCACTCCCGTAGGCAACGTTGGGCGAAAACTCCCTCCTGAACGTTATCGGCTCTTCCCCCCCCGAAGCTGCGAGAAACCCCCGCTGCCGCACGCTGCTGACGATGCAGCTGACGCCTCTGCTGCCGCTCCGACACCAGCAAGCACAAGTAGAAGACGACCAAGCCAGGGAGGGAAGACTGTGCAAGAGAGAGGAAGAGTGGGAGGGAAGAGGACACAGGGAGAAGGCGTGGGTGCGATGAAGGAAGGATAAAGGGGG